AACCAGGGAACTGTGGCAGAGCACATTGTGACACAACAGCCCGAGCTGAACAACTTCTTCTCGACCCAAGGTCGAGGCCGTGGTGGGGCATGTGGTGGTGCACCCCAATCACAAGGAGCTTCGGCCAGCATCAATGCGGCTGTCGGAAAAGACGACTTCCCTGGCAGTTGCTTTGGCTGTGGGAAGCAAGGGTACCGTCATTTCGAGTGCCCCAACTGTAAGGACAAGCCTTACACCAAACGCGCCAATGCGCAGGCTACGGTTGCCTCGGGATCCACCCAGGCAGCGACAAGCGCCCCCATCGCTTCATCCTCAGTGAGTACAAGCACCGCTTCAGCAAAATCAGATAGTTTGGAGCTGGCGGACTTAATAGCACAGATGAAGTCGATGCGCAAGGAGCTCAAGCACTATCGGGCGATGAAGAAGGAGTTTTTTTCGTCCGGTCCGCACTTTGTGCCACATGCGTTGGGCTGCGTAATAATAATCTGTACAATGTATCAGCGACCGCAAATGTGTACAAGTTGGACCATGGGTCCCAGCATTTCCACATTCCAATGCGCCTCAAAGGAGAAAAACGGCACAAAGACATAGTCGCAATGGTGGACAGCGGAGCCACTATGAAGTTCATCAACAAGTGTTTCATCATGGTGAATCGAGTATGAATGCAGAAGTTAAAAGAACCTATTCCGCTTTACAACATCGATGGAACACTCAATAAAGACAGAAGCATCTTGGAAGTAGCCGTGCTATAGATGCAGATAGGAGAGCATGTCGAGAAGACGGTGTTTACGGTCATGGACATCGGTCCAGAGAATGTGATTGTTGGGTTAGATTGGCTACGTGAGCACAACCCTGAAATTGATTGGGAGGCGAGCTCCCTGAAATTATCGCAATGTCCTGAAACGTGTAGCGCTAATCGCAATGTCCTGAAACGTGTAGCGCTAATCGCAATGTCCTGAAACGTGTAGCGCTAGAAAGACTGGCCAAATGGAGCAAGCAGTGACTGTGCATGATACGGGGATTAGGCCCACAGCACGCAGGTGTTTGCCGAAGTCCCGATGGTTGGTCATAGATGCCTGCCGAAGTAAGGTGCTCCCGGACTTCAAACCCGAAGAAGATCCAGTGGAAATAGAGTGGGATGAGGCTGATTTTATCCAAGCCTGGGAGCAAGGTATCACGCTTCCCGGTGCCCCTCAATCATTTGTCGCAGCCGGACATACGTACTCCCAGCTGTTTGCTGAGGAGGAAATCAAGAAGAGAGTCATTAAGACCACCAAGGAGTCGGTACCTAAACAGTACCACAAGTTCCTGAATGTCTTCTCCAAAGAAGCATCAGAACGGTTATCTGAAAGGAAGCCATACAATCATGCGATTGAACTTGTACCTGGCTACTCAATGTTCCATTCGAAGGTCTATTCCCTGTTAAACAATAAGCAGGAGGAACTCGATAAGTTCCTAAAGGAATAGTTAGCGAAGGGCTACATATGGAAATCAAAGTCGCCCATTTCGACCCTGTCACAAGTTGGTACAGTGTCTAGCTGTTTTTTAATTTTTTCCTTTTTGTGGACACCCATGACCTCTGTACTACATGCCTGATATGGATGCATTGTTATCTACTGTACGATTAGATTAGATGGGTGGCAGTGCGCGGCACAGCTCGGGCTTCACTGACATAGCCACTCTCTGACTCACCGGCCCCCGGGGCCACGTCAGCATACTGCGCACGGACCAGCTGCGCACGGACCAGCACGCACAGCCTGCCCTTATCTCCCCATGTATATAAGCTGGCCTCTGCTGCCCTAGGGACCTCAGTTTTGACCTCTTGTCCCTAGGTCAGTAAGCCTCCCTTGTATTCTTTCTTACCTTAACTAATATATTCACTTGTCCCTAGCCTTAGGTTTGAGCGTAAGCTCACCATCGCTTCGGTGGGACCCAGTCGAACGCCCCCAGCATTTAGGTTTGTTCCTGTTCCTTGACCTTAAGTTGTGACAATAGGTCAAAACCCCCCAACGCTGCTGGCGTTCCTTGAAACCCACACTCACTTTTCACTTCCTATAGGTTGGGTGGTGCACACCCTTTTGATACCATACAATATGTAGATAGCCTATTATACATCGCCAACACTTAGGGAATGAACCTTTCAGCACCTGCACTTCAGTGGGCGGTGCTTGTCCTTAAATGGACACGTGGACTAGGTCCCTGCTGCATTCTAGCCAAAAGCAGTACTGGGCCCCATGTGAATCGCGAACCCTAGTGTCACCTTGGGCACCATAGGTGTAAGCTAGTCTACAAACGGCCTTTCATAGTACATGCACCTCCCCTTCCTCCCTCCATCCATCATGGCTGAAGAAGCCTTCAACTGTACAGGACTTGAGCATGCATTCAATGCAGAAGATCATGTTGACGTCGCACGCCTAGATGATCCAGGCGCCCTCTTCTTCGACTGTAACAGACAGCCATGCCCTAACTGCACCCCGCGCTCCATCACCGTCGAAGATGGACACTTTGTGCCCATCCGACAAGTTTAGCACCCCCTTGTGCCAGATCTCAAATACGCGTCCTGATCTGTCTCCCGCCACGTCACTCCCATCTCATCCCAACCTGCCTCGCCAGGCATCCGCATTCCTCAACCTGTTGCCAGTACAGGTCAAGCGCAAGGAGACCCCAATCTCCCTCAAAGAACTGAGGCAGTCACACAGCCTCCAGCGACCCCTCAAGCGATCCCCCAGCCCTCTTTGGGGCCGCGGTTGGAAGGGCCTCCCAAGACCAAGCCCTGCGACACTCTGCCACATTCTTGGGCCGGCTCGTCCTCAGCGGTCACCACCTCGACTTCAGTCCCTGTCCTACGTCACCCCGCCCCCGGGCTTCTTCAATCGTCTCCACCGCTGTCGCCACCGCGAGGCCGCCCAAGCACTCGTTCCTTGCAAAGTTTGCCCAGTGGACAGTCACAACAGTTGCCTTCATCTGCAGGCAGTCCTTCATCCTCCTTGTTGCCAATAATGTTGTTTCCCGCCACTGTCCCTGATAAGGAGATGTTGAAACTTCTCCTCCCTCTCCAATACGATGGAAAAATGGTCGTCGAGTGCAACCGCTTCGTCTCCCAGCTGCTCATCTACTGGGCGGTTAAAACGACCCTCTCCACCATCGAGCTGAAGGTCCAAGTTGCCCTCAGCCTCCTCGATGGTGACGCGCGAACCTGGGCCACCCCCATCTTCTCCCAGCTTGCCGCTGTTCAGATCGGGACTCAGGGAGCAATGTCACCCTTCGCCGATGAAACGGCCTTCCTCACGGTGTTCAAAGCCTGTTTCAGCAACCTTGACGATGCCACCGCAGCACAGGTGGAGCTTACTAAACTCTGTGCTGACAAAACCATGTGCGAGAAGTGCACCACTGCAGAATTCTCTGCAATGTTCAAGGGTGTGGCGGACCGTTCCGGGTATGGGGATGTGGAACTCCACGACAAGTACCTGAGTGGCATCCCCTTCCGCATCTATCGCAAGATCGAGCTCGAGACCTTTGCCATGTGGCAAGAAGCTGACAAGTGCGCCACCAAAGTCGAGCAGATCCTCGACATCAGCCAGGCCCGATGGCCCGAGTTGAACAACTTCTTCTTGGCCCAAGGTCAAGGCCACGGTGGGGCACGTGGTGGTGCACCCCAATCACAAGGAGCTTCGGCCAGCATCAATGCAGCCGTCAGAAAAGGGAACTTCCCCGGCAGTTGCTATGGCTGCGGGAAGCAAGGGTACCAACAATTTGAGTGCCCCAATTGTAAGGACAAGCCTTACACAAAATGCGCTGACGTGCGGGCTACGGTTGCCTTGGGATCCACCCAGGCAGCAACAAGCGCCCCCGTCACTTCACCCTTGGCAAGTACAAGTACTGTTTCAGCACCTTTGGAGCTGGCAGACTTAATGGCACAGGTGAAGTATCACAATGTGCTCTGCCACAGTTCCCTGGT